GACCCCCCTGCTCTCGCTGACCCTTCCCTGATCCCCCTGACCCCTCCCTGACCCTTCCCTGACCACCCTGCCCTCGCTGACCCTTTCCTGATCCCTCTGACCCTTCCCTGACCCTTCCCTGACCCCCCTGCCCTCGCTGACCCTTCCCTGACCCCCCTGACCCTTCCCTGCCCCCCTGACCCGCCGTCTCCCCGCAGGCCGGGGCCGAGATCTCCACGGTGAACCCCGAGCAGTACTCGAAACGCTTCAACGAGTTCATCTCCAGCATCCTGACATAGTGCAGCCTCCTCCTCCTCCTCCCCTCCCGCCAAGGCGCGGCCATCCTCATCCTCACCCCCTCCTCCGGCCGCCGCCGCGGGACCCCAGCTCACAGAAGTGCCCAGATCCCAGATCCGAGGGCTTTTATCCCAACGAGCCAAGTGCATTCGTTCCGGCGCCGCCGCTCTCCTCCTCCTCCTCCTCTCCCAGGAACGCTGACGGTCAGTGCGAGCGGCGCCCGCTCCACAAAACACTCCTTGTTTTTCTGTGTCGTTGTTGTTGTTGTTTTATGGGACTGGCTTTTATTTTGCCAGAAAAGACAGAAAAAAAAAAACAAACCACCCAAACCCATCGATCCCACCCCTTTTATTTCCCTCTCGGTAGGAATTGGAAGGAAAATAGCTCACCATTTCAAGGATGGGAAATGTAACTCTTGATAAAAAGGAGGAGTTCGCTGAATTTTTAGGTAAATTCAGACTTGGGACACTTTATATTTTTTTGGTTAATTTAAGTAACAAAAGGAAAAAAACACACAAAAAAAACAACAAAAGCCACAAACCTTTTTTTGTAACTGCACTTGATTTACGAGAAAGATGAGGGAAATGAACATCTACCAAAGATGATCTCTAAAAAAATAATGATAATAATTAAAAAAAAAAGGTGTAACTCCTAAAAAAGAATCAGTGTGAGAAGTGAGAGAGGCATTGACCGACCTCAGCTCACGACGTGCTCGGACCTGGGGTGATTTCAATTGGCCAGTTCTGAAGATTGAAAGAAAGATTAAAGAAAATAAGATTAAAAAAAGGCATTTTTATACCTTTAGGATAAGATTTTTGGTCGTTCCCTCAGTGGGGAATGGCTCTGAGGTCACCATCACAGTCCTGCCAGTGTTAATTAGCTAATTAATTATTCAGTCTTCCTTCCCCCACCCCACCTGCAAACAGGTACTTGAATCTGTGTCCTGGCAGAGGTTCCTGGGTTGGTTTTTGGTGGGATTTCTGCTGGAATGTCACTTGCACACTTGGAATCGGGCTGGGGGCTGAGCCCCTCTCAGCGACCCTCCAGGAGTGGAAATGGTGGAAAGACTTCTCTTCTTCCAGCCCCCTCCTCCCCGTGAAGGATTTTTGGGACTGATTGGAGCGACTGAAATCGTCCTGTTTTATCTCCAGAACGCTTTTTAACCCTTCCCACAAGCCAAGCTGGGCAGACTCGCCGTGGGTTTTGTTCTCTCTGCTGCTGCACAAGTCACACAAGTTCTGGTTCTTCCTTTTGTGGTTTTTTTTGGGATTTATCATTCTGTTCTTTTGGTTTTTTTTTTTTTAAAAATCTTTATTTTTAATTTCCTTTCTCTCTTCAAGCAGGATTTAGGAACAAATCCTCTCTGCAGTTGAAACACACAGTTGCTTAATCTGCCTTGGAACTGTTTTTTCACACATGCCTTTTGTTTGGGGAGCGTCTGTCCTGTGCTCGTGGTGGTTTTTGCTGTGTGGAATTTTGGTCCTTTTTTTTTTTCACAGATAACTGGTGCTCATCACATCCTGGTAATTCCCCTAAATTATCCCTTTGATTCTCAATCTGGGGTTTGGGGAGGGGGGTAGGGGGGTATTTTTAAGTATTTTTAAAGTATTTTTATTTGGTTTTGGTTTCTTTTTCACCCCTCCTCTCCCCCTCCCTATTTCCC